GGTTACACATTAATTGTTCATTAGAGTTTCGACAGAGTTTCGACAGTCATTAAGAGGTTTCGCCCACAACCTTAGGTCTGCATGAAGGCATCCAATATATCAATTAATTGAAATTTCAGATGAAGTGCAGTTAAAAAAACCTCATCCAATGATACATGATATAATTGAACAAAATTCTGTGGTATCTCATTCAGGACTATATAACCAACACCAAGGGATGGATGCTGTTCTAGAAGAAGTGAATAAAGCCCTAAAAACTTTAATACCTCCAGTTCCTCAAGAACATCATTGGATAATTGCAGCATGTAATTGCAAAAAATTCTTTCAAGTAATAACATAATTTTAACCCTTTATATAGTATAAAATTTTAAAATTTTAAAATTGACTTTTTGATTTACTTTGTAATATTATTATATACATACATTCAGTTGCAAAACAATTTTTTTGAAACAATTGGATATAATGATATACATACATCTGGACCAAGAACTCATCCTGAACCAAATGCAGAATGTCAAATATTTCGAGCTCATTTAAGAAATCTTGATTTTATTAATCCAGCAGAAACAAGGGCTATTCATAAAAGTTTAGATGAAGAATATGAGTTAAGTGATCAATTAAAAGATTTTAGTTATATAGCAAAAAAAAAAATGACAAGAATATATTATGGAAGTATGTTATAAGAAAAATAAAGCTCCTTTATTTAGGCCAATTCCAATAACTAAAGAAGAATCTATTGCACAAAATAAAGAAGAAAATCTGTCAAAAAAAGAAATATTACTCAAGGTAGAAACTCTCCTTGAACAAATGAACAAAAATATTCAAAAAAATTATCATGCAATAAAGTCAAAAAATCGAAGCGAATTATTAATTATATTACAAGAGGTAACTAATTTGTTTAATACAGATAATGAACTTGATAAACATGATGATTTAGGATATCCAGGAATTACACAGCAAGAATTTTAGCTTTATTATAAATAAAGTAAGTCCAGGTAAGTACAGTAATTTAAAAGTTTAGTGAACTATATATTTATTATTTATATATAAAAAGGTAAAAAGCAAAAAATAACTACACCATTAATATTAACGTTAATTATAAAAATTCTTTCACATTTAAAAATAAATCTATTACTCTTTTCTTTCAATAGTTTTTTTTTAATAATTATTCTGCCTAATCCTCTATCATTGTTGATCTGATAATATTATTATGGTATTCAAAACTCACCTGGATGCTCAAATTTTTGTTCCATTTTTAAATAATAATTTGATTTTTTATTTTATTCAACGAAAGGATCTGCATAAATTTGGCTAATCAAAATTTCTTCTAAAGAAATTTCCAGAACTTTTATCATTTATAAATTAGGAAATACCAAATTTAGCATATTCCCTGAGAGGTGCATTTATGAAAGGATGCACTTATAGAGGGGAAGAATTTTATTGTTTTCACATGATATTAATAAAAATTATTGTACGATTTTAAATATTTTTTTAATTACTATAGTTGGCTCGGTCTAAAGACCTCCTAAATTTTGTGCTAATTTTAAAAGTATAGAAGTCACTTTCTGTCCTACCTTTTTAAAAAACAGCTCTATTAGTTGATAGAATATGTCTTTAGTTTTAACTTAATAGAGATTTTCTCAAAAAAATTATTTGTTGTAGAGTTCTATTCTTTTTAAAACATGTACTTTACTATGCTCGCGAGGAATTTGTCCACTATGATCATTTCTAAATTTAGGAAAATAATACCAAATTTAGACTAGCTCTTGACTATCGTATCTAAATTTGGCAGTAAGAAACAAAAATCACGTAAAGTCCTAATTTTATTACGAATTACAAAATTGCTATTTGAAATTTATGTTTAATAAAAGTAACCAAAAATAAAATAAAGAATAATTAAGACAAGTTAATGCCCTTGAGCAATACATTATTTTAAAAAAAAAATTCAATGAAGCAAACCACAATGAAACAATTTTTAGTCAATAATAATATTTAATATGTAATAATAATATGGTTGGCTCCGGTGTCTGAAATTGAGTGCGGGGGTTTGTGTTACATATTGAATTTAGCCAATCAAATTTGTCCTTCTGGTAGAAAATTTAACGTTGATTGGCTAAATTCAATATGTAACACAAACCCCCGCACTCAATTTCAGACACTGGTTGGCTCAGTCTAAAGACCTCCTATTGCTGCTCCATATGGCCAAATTTTTAAAAAAAAATCGTGACCTTTTATCTTTTGTTTAATCCTTAATTTTTTTAATTTCGCATATAACTCTTTGTAAACATTATTTGATCCTTTATAAGCAACAGTAGCTGTTTAATCCTTTATTTTCCATGAATTAATCAATGTAACACGAACTTATTTAGCAAATAAATCACGTGATAGTCACGGGCGTGCATTTAGAGTGTGGTTTTTATATGGGGGAAGACCGTACAGTGCAGAGTATGGAGGGAGTGCATTTACCACTAATTCCCGAGGTTAGGAATGAGACATAGTGTGAATTTATGAAGGGATGCATTTATGGAGGGTGGGTGCATTTATGGAGGGTTCACTGTAGTTAATTGTGGGGTTAATGAAACATATAAATTAAATATTTTTATAAATCTTGATTTCCTTACTAATTAAACTTCAACTCATTCCAACACTTCATTATGGCCCATTAACTGTGAGCTTGCAGGTATTATCATCACACTTTGCTAAGAATGTTTTATTGCAATTGAATAGAAGGAGAATATTGCATGGATCATAAACCTTATCCCAAACCTTGTAATGATTGTTTTTTCTATGTAAAATGTTGGATGATCTAATTGGTAGAAAAACATGTAATGGTTGTGGTGGTCATACAGTTGCAATACCTACAACAAGGCTTATTGCCAACAATTTCAATGGTGTGTGAATGAGATTATGGGTTTGGATGACTGTCTTTATTTTCAACCATTCTTTCAAGGGCTTCTAGGAATGTGTTTGCAGTTCCCTTAATTTGGTGTCTGGATTCAGTAAAATGTCCCAAGTATTTCTTGTCCTTGAATATATCAAACTATGGATATTGAAATTTATCAATGATCCTATCAATGATCCTATTGATCACCAACTAAACTTAATTGAGAAATGTATCTTTAAAAGCATTTACAATCTAATTACTCAAAAACTCATGAAGAAATTTTCTATAACAAATATGCTCAAACAACTGATACTCTTCTTGGTAAAAATCAAGCATCAAGAACATTAAATGATGATTATATCGCAGAGTTTAGATTGTTAGAATGTTAAATTTGTATTTGTTTTTCCAGTATTTATAATGGAATTTTTATAGATCATTTCTTAATAATAAATAATAATATGATAAAGAAAATGAATATGCTATGAAAAATTATTATTTTAAAAGAGTTTGGAGTAAAGTAATTTCAATTCATTTAAAGCTCATCAATTACTTTATTAAATAAAATAAAATTGAAATGAAACACTTTCCAACCCGCCAAGAATTATTGGATACCTCAAATGTATTAATTGCATAAAAAATTATAGCTTAAGTTCTGAAGATTACGCATATAAAATCCCATTTTTCCAAGTTTTTAGAGCTTATTTTTGAAAAAAATTTTTTTTTGGTGAATGATTGTTCTAAAGCCCACATAATAATGTGCTAATTTAAGATCTGATATAATTTTTATTACGTAATTCTGGGTTTATATTATTTAGAAAAAAAATTTTTTGATAAATTTTTTATCAGTAGATGTTACACGAAAACAAACCCTTTTGGATCCAAAAACAAAAGTAAATCAACTATATATCAACAATAAATAAATAAATTAATTAATAATAATAATAATAATAATAATGACAGATACTCTTATTACTGAAGAAAAAAAGAATGATGCTACTGTAGTTGAGAAAAGTGACGGTGTTATTACTGATAAAAATGTAGAAGAGGAAAGTATTAAAAAAACATCTTCACAAGACGACGATAAAGGGGATAAAGAATTAATAACTATTACTAGTAGTAGTACTAGCAATAGTGGCGCCACAGCTGCTAAAAAAAATGCAACAGTAGAAGATGAGGAAGATTCAGATGATGAGGATGATATTCCCGAGTTGGCAGAAGAACAAGGATTATTACCTGATGTATCATCATTGAATCTTGATAGTTTAACTGGTGGCAGTGGTGGTGGTGGTGGTGCTATAAAAGCTCAATCTCGTGGAGAGAAAAAAGCTCGTAAAGCAATGCAAAAATTGGGATTGGTACATGTTCCTGGTATTACTAGAGTTACAATTAAAAGAGCAAAAAATGTAAGAGAAAGTTCCGGTCATTAATTAATTTTTAAATGTTTTTTTTTTTTAAACATCAATCAATCAATCAATCAACCAACCAATCAATCAATCATATTATAACATTAAAATTTATTTATTTTTATAGATGTTGTTTGTTGTTTCCAATGCCGACGTTTATAAATCATCAAATTCTGATTGTTACATTGTATTTGGTGAAGCCAAGGTTGAAGATCTTAACTCGCAAGCTCAAGCAAACGCAGCACAACAATTTCAAAATGCGGCCGAGACTACAACTTCTGCTATTGCATCCAAGGAAACTGCTAAAGTCGAAGAAACAAACGAAGAAGATTCAATACCTATTGATGAAACTAATGTGGAAGCTAAAGATATTGAATTAGTTATGCAACATACTGTAAGTATGAAAGTATAGGGTGGTGGTGACACAGCGAAATAATTTAGGAGATTCAAGAAAAAATTGATTGACTGACTGATTTATTTTTTTTTTTTAGAATTGTTCACGTGCTAAAGCTGTTAAAGCTCTAAAAAACAATAACAGTGATATTGTTAATGCTATCATGGTAACGTAAATCTGTTTATAAATTATAATGGAATACGTGTTATGAACTAATCATTTCTTTTTCTTAATTTTTTATTTTATAGGAATTACAATAAAAATTAATAATATTAATAAATCTATATATATAATTACATCTATTGATTTTTAATGTCATTATATAATGAGACGACAGCATCATAACTTCCAATTGTAGCAATTGTTATAGAAAATATTAAAGTAAAAATTATCCAAACTTTTTCCCAATTATTATTTTCCAATTTACTCCATCCAACAAGCTTTAACCATAACAACAATGGGATAACAACCACCAACGAACCATTTGCCAATGCACCTAATAATGACATAATATCAGCAAAAAAAGGTATTGACACAGCAATATAGACTTCCGCAATAACAGTTACAAGTCGTAACAATGTCCGATAAATGAATTCACGTAGTTTGCCCAATTTATTCTCGTTAATACTATAATAATTTTCTAATTCCAATGAGAATACTGTCTGATAAATCGGTAATGCAAATGTTACATGCAGTGTAATTAATATTATCACAGCCTTAACCAGTATTCCATCAGGTAAATTTAAATAGATTGGTGATTTTGCATTATTTCCATAAGTAAAATAACCAAAAAATCCAATTATTAGATATAATATTGTAATTGTAAACATTACAAATGAAACTACTTTTGGCCAATTTCGTGGTTTTCTCATGCTAAATGAATTGATGTTGAATTAGAAGAGTAGAAATGCGTCAAACAAACAATCTATCGATCGATTAAAATTACTAATCAATAAATTATTATGACGAATCATTTAATTACCTTTCTTCGACATATGGATAAACAATATTTCCGCCATAACTAAAACTGACAGTTGCAAGCGAAATTGGTAATTTTCTCATGACAATTATGTCATGCGGATTATCTTTATTATTTGGATAATCAATTATAGACATTATCATAACGACGAATACCATCAACACAACCGTTAACACTCCAAAAAGGCTATTTGGTAATTTTGTAAAAGAAACAGAAAATAATTAGAAAATTTTCATGGAATGTTTTGCTGTTAATATTATAAAATCAATTCCTTAAAAATTCACATCATCTACCTCAACAATTTAACATCTTTCATAGTTTTTAATAGTATGTATGGAATACACATAATACTTGCCACTAAATAAATCCAGTTTTTCATCCCAAAATCAATCTTTGAAAATATCATTTGTAAATTATCGCCAATCAATATCAAATACAGTATCGGACAGCCAACACTTATGCAATTAAATAAAAACCCAACTATCGCCGAACCACTCCTGCCAAATGCATCATATGCTAATTCGGACATTGAAGTCCTACGACGATTCCTATTCAAAAATAAAATTATGCACATTTAAAGGCTTGAAATTAATATCACGTAATATATATATATATATATATATGTGTGTGTGTGTGTGAAACAGTTACCCATCGTAGTATAAACATTCAATCAATTTTATATTTGCATAAGTTGCCATTACAGCTGCTAAAATTAAAAATATAATTGTAATCCATCCACCTTGTTGTATAGCATATGGAATTCCCAGTGTTCCTGCTCCTGCTACAACACACCTAAAATTTGGAAATAATCATTTAATATATATATTTACAATTTAATAATAATATTAATAATACCACTCACACACAACTCATAAATGCATTCAAATTAGATCCACCCTGTTCACGTCCTTTATAATCATCATCGTGATTTATTAATTGTGAATAGTTATCATCAGAAATTGATTCTTCACGAACTTTTTTTTTAAGAAAAAAATGGATTGTTTAGCTTGTTTATAAAATAAAAAAATCTAAATGATAAAATATAAATTTATTTTAACCAATTCCTATAGCTCCATAATTATTATTATTATTATTTCTACCGAAAATTTTTTTGACGTTGCCCATTGTTAATTATTATTATTATTATTATTGTTAATTATTATTATTATTATTATTATTATTTTGTAAACAAAAAAAATTTGATTTTCTCTTTAATTTATAAAAAAAAAAACCTTGCTCATGATGATTCATTAATTGTTAAAACTAAATCTTATTAGTAAATGTGTATATATTTTTTTGGTACAAATAAGATAGTTTAAATGCATATGTCAAAAATCAAAAAAGGGAAAATACATGATAACCATATTCTTAAATGACAATTATTCGTGTCCCTGTGAAAAAGGAATACAGTATAATAAATAGTAATAGTAATAAATAGAATATAGAATGTCAGTAAGAAAGGGGGCGTACTGCATGAATTTAAAATTCAATAGCGTGTTGGGGATTTGTTGATCTTTGTTTTATCAGAGTAATCAATCCAAAAAGGCAAACCTCATGACTTATTATTTGGCTTAACTCTATTTGCTGTTATTTCAGGTTTTCGCTTTTATTGTATACATTTGGAATTCCTTGTTCCCTGTATTTGTTGGTAAAAGAGTTCATCTTTTACCTCTTCATTTAGCTCTTCTCATTTCAGGATTCTTTCCAAGTGTTCATCCTTGCTAAATTTTGATAATGATTTATATCCTGTTTGTATTGTGCTGACTCAGGTTAATTCTACGTTTTCGCGCCACAATGTCTATTTTGTTTTAACTGATTGAAAAAAGAAAAAGTTTTTGAGTTTTCACTTTAATTTGCTCGCTGTGTTCTTTGTTCTTTGTTCTTTTCCTAACGTAGCCTTTTACGTATATCTCAAACTGGGCTAATTTTGTTTGAAGGTTTTGATTTTATTCTTCTTGTTCTCTAATTTGATTACTGTTGCTTTATAGTTTGATACATGATATTGTATAATTGTTTTACTTTTTCATTGTCACCCATTCATCTATTTCAATTAATTATTTATAAAACACCTTTACCCTCCTTCCAGTTTTCAGAGAAGCAACCTTTTTGATACATGTGATGATTAATGTTTTGGTTTAATTGAGCAGAATTTAAGCAAGGCTTTGCCATCATTCTTAATTCTGAAAACTCTTTTTTTCCGGTTTAATTATTTTATTTTCTTTCAGAATGTTGTTTATTATACATAATTTTCTCTCTATTCTTGTTTCTCACATTCTTAAACGATATTTCTATATAAAATTATTTATACAATCGAACCTCGTCACAACCTAATACTAATTAAACGTATTTAGTATTAGTGTTAGTATTATAATAATAACGAACATATCAAATCCGTTATAACGTGACTAGTACTAAATCCATTACAACGGGAGCTGTTATAACGAGGTTCGACTGCGTTAATTTTTGCATCTACTGTGGAACCTAAAAATTACGGAACCATCAAAAGCATTTTGAAGAAAGGATTGTCCCTTACGTCTTTCTAAACAAAAAGAAATCGGTTGTAAATTTACCAGAAACTATGAAAAGTCGTAACCAATAAAAACTTTGTGTATTTGCCAAAAACTTTGTATATATACAATGATCTAAATCATCAATTCGATTGTTCTCCATCCATTATTATTATTATTATAATAGAGATTGTGATTGACTAAAATAGTCGACTAATTATAAATAAATATAAGACGATTTGTAGTACAAGAAACTTTTTTATCATCGAGGAAAAGAAAATAATAGTAATTCTAGTGTTTCGTTTGTTTTTTATTTTGATCATAAATATAGTATATATAACCTTGTTACAACAAAGTGGCTAGGCATATAAGAAAATTTCATTCAAAATTCGTTGAAACTAGTGATGAATGGGCGATTAATAACCCCAAGTTATTAACCCTAGTTTTAAGTTATTAACTTAAAACTGATCAGAAAGGTTTTTTACGCCTCTTCACTAGTTGAAACAAAATTACTAATCGCGTTTCAACAAATTTATATGCTTTTATAATGTGGTAACAAGGATTTAATTATTATTATAATACATTAAAACAAGATTTCACTGTAAATAATAATAATAAAATAATGAATCTGCATCGTCAAAAAAATTTTTTTAGTCGATTAAGGAAATTTTTGATCAACTAGTAGTCGACTAGTGATTTTTTTGGACGGTTCCGACTTCTACATTATAAAGTGGTGCTATACTAAACCCATACTTTAACAAACAACCTCTCCGAATGTAAAGTATCTTATTACTTCCAAGATGAAATCTAAACAATTAAAAGAAAGTTATAAATATTTAAATTGATCAATACAAAGTAATGTCTTTCAATAAAACTCACTTATTAATATCTTCATATATTTTGGATCTCTTCGTTGTCTTGAATTATCGATTTCTTTATTATGTATTAAAAAAAATTTGTAATCATATCTATTAGTTTCAATTATTGTCAAACTTTAGCAGACCTGTGCTTAAGCTAGCTTTATTCTATTTATAATAATAAAATCGGGAGCAAGCTTCTGTGTGTCTTCCATGTAGATAAGATAATTAATCTTGTGTTCTATTTTAAACAGTCCAGCTCACAGATTTGATTCAACTGTTCTTATTGTTTCCCAAAGTCAAATATTTATTTTCGAACCATTTCTTGTAGGTTGATTAAGGTTAGAATTTGTCGCTTGTAAATAGAAGGTGTGAAGTAAATGTGTAAATCGACGGAATACCGATTTTATTGTTTTTATGCATTGACTGCTCGAAGGATAATTGTTCAGTGTATCTTTGAAAATTTTCTTCTTTAATTTGTCCAATATAAATTATTTTTAGCTTACATAAACATCCAATTAAATGCTACTAAATTTTTGGTCAAGATTTTTGATTTGCCTGGCTAATTTGGAAGCCTGCAAGGTATTTTAGAAGCAAGGATGTGTTTTTTATTGATCACTTTGTATATATATGTGATATGATAATGTTGTTATCACTACTTTTTTTAATAATACTGTTCTTATTACCAAAAAGAAATCTTTGTAATATAAAAAAAATGGCTTCAATATCTTTTATAAACAATGTAGTGATAGGTGACGGATTTACCACCGGTCCGTCACATACAAAGTCAGTGATAATGAATTCGGAACATTCATATTCAAAGTTTTCGATTATAAGAGTTCTCATCTGATTCAAAATATTATAAAAAAAAATTTTTCTTTGAGTGTAACGAATCTTTAATTTTTATGTTAAAATGATATATTTACATTGACTTTATTTATTCATTCATTTCAAGGTCATCATCATCCAACATACAGTTTGAATATTTCTTCGGTTTCTACTGACTTGTAGATATATGGCCTTACTGTTCCCATTTGATTAAAAAAGATAACGAATGTATATTTACCTTAAGAATGGATATTTACAATGTTGCCTCAGGCAAAAAAATTACACAAGTCGTTGGATTAATATTTTGAAATGCATTCAAGTTTTGTGATAGGTAAAACTTGGGATAACAAGGTCATAGTATGTTTTTAGATTAGCAGATAATATTTTTTTATTATCTATTAAATATTATAACGTTATATTTTTACAACGACAAAAATCATTTTTATATATTTTCGTGGCACAGTCATTTGTGATGTCATTATCATATATATCAAAAACTCACTTCGTCTCTTATAGTAAACAACTTGTTTATCCTACACTACTGATATCATTTAGTGAATATTTTATCCAGGAAAAATAATTGTAGATCCATGAATAGATCCAAAGTTACTAACTCAAGGTGGTAATGAAATTATAGATGAAATAAAGACAAGAATGCAATACTAATAATAAAAATAAAAATCAATGAAAATAAAAACAACAATGAAACAACGAAGAACAAAAAGGACAATTATTTTTTTTTTCACTTGATATCGAATTTGAAAAAATACCAAAGACATTTTTGGTAAAGAAAAAATTTTTCACCAAAGAAACAAAATTTATCCCAAGGTATCCAGAATGCAACAACCACGAATACTTTTAAACTAATTCAAACTTGTTTGTATCCGATACATTACACATAGTTAATAGAGTGCCATTATTGAACTTAATAATGTCGAATTTCTTCCATCAATTTATTTTGACATCAAGAGTACTACTAATACTTCAAGATCAAATTTAGCGAAACAAAGATATAAACAACTACAATAGCATAATCACAACAGCCACTTCTTGAAAATATTTCCATTCTCACCACTTGCATTTATCTGGTCATTTGACTAAATAGCCATCTTTAACTATCTTTTAAATCATCACAGGCAATCCATTATAATTATAATTATCATATTCTAAGTTATATGCTTTATATTAACTCATCAATCCTTCAGTTAGTAATTGTATATCGCCGTTATATCTATTACAAGTTGAACATTTACCATAATATCCATTTCTCTCATCTGAATATTTGCATCAGTAAAAATATTATAATGGTATCTATCTTTACTAGAAATTCCTTTCGTATTCAATAATTCTAAAGATTTTTCTATTTGATCCTTTATTTTACTTTATATACTATAAATTTAAAGCAATCCATCGTTGATTTTCTCACAGCAAAAAGTTCATTCCTACCTTAAAAATCTCACGCTTACGCATAATTTTTTAATGATTGATGAAATCAAATTATTCGAGATAAAATTTATTGGGAAAATTCTCATAAATACATAAAAAAATAGTTAACAATTGATCAAATCAAATAACAACAATTATCAATAATAAAATTGCAAATAATGAAAGTTTGGATATATACCTATATAACGTAAGCAAACAAATTAATAAACAGATAACGTGGAATCTCGAAAACAATATCTCCCATTCACACTTACGATTTATCATCAATTGTTTAGCTTAACACAATAAATGTTTCTGGCATTAGATGGAACAATACCAACATCTTTCCATTCAAGTGTCTTGTAATGTTCCTCTTTCAACTCTTCAATAATTTCACCTTTACCTGTCACACGTAAAACTTTTATTTCTTTCCTCCCTTCTTCGCCTGATGATAATTGTTCAATAAATTCAGCTGTTCGTTTAAAGGCTATCTTTGATGATAAATGATCATACGAAAATGCCTATTTTTAAAATTATTATTATTATTTGCATAGTTCGTATTGATTTTAATTTAAAACTTGTGAAAATTACTTGGAAGACGTGAGGCATTTCTTCATAAACCTCAAGAACAACTTTTGTAGGTGTTTTATAAGGCGACTTTTCAAACTTTTTAGCATTGTAATAAGGTAAATTGTATTTTTCTGGATTGGAAGCTTTGTAAGCCAGGTAAATGCTCTCGTCTCTTAATTTTTCTACATCACCTACTTGCTATACAATAAAAAATTATTTTTATCATTATATAAGCATTCGGAGTGTTTTTTTTTAAATTATTTACCACTAATATTGGTGGCAAACCACCTAAACTTTCGGCAAGTAATGGAGAAACGTATGGAATTGCCAATCCCTCATTAGACACATAATGGTGTAAACGACCATCACGATCAAATGATTTATGCCAAAATCTTGGTTTATTATCAACATTTAATTGGATTTTTTCTGATAATTCATTTGCTTTTCGTTCAAATTCTTCCCACACAGGAGATATTCGATTATGAAAAGGTTCATTTGTCATGTAATCTGTTTCATCACATCCTGGATCTATTATTGATGACGTCGTCTTAGCTAAATCAGCCCATAGTGACCACACAACAGCTCCAGCCGGTAAAGGTAATGATCCCTTTGAGTCACGTATAGCAAGCAATGTTGCCAGTGTTAGACCACCACCTGCACTGTTACCCATAATTACAATATTTTTAGGTTCGATTGGTAGAAAATCGGCATCTTTTGGTGGGTCAATAAGATAATTGTAGGCAGTTATTGAGTCGTGTAAAGCTGCAGGAAATTGATTTTGTGGTGCAAGTCTATAATTGATTGCTTTAAAAAAAGGGTTGTTTAAGAAAGTTGTAAGTTAAATTTCATTTTCATAATTCGTACGTAAGATTAATTACCAAATAGTCTTGCATTTGTAGATTTTGCAATTTTAGAAGTAGTGCTACGATGAGAACCAGCAGAACCGTAAAGATATCCACCACCATGTAAGAACAAAATAACCTTATCATATTTTTTCTTTTTATTGTTGTTTTCTTCTCCTCTCACTTCTTCCTTAACGTAAATCCATTCACATTCTAAACCATTCCCAAGATTAACACTTTTCCAATCATCAAGAAGCACATGATTATAATCTTTCAAGATCTCATCAATGTAAACTTCTGATTTTTTACGAAGTGAATTTGACAATGACAGCTCATCTACAAGTATACCATTATCGATAGCACTATTGCTCGTAGTTATTTTTTGAGCATCTTCGATAGTTATATTGGCAGCTGATTTAAGCATATCTTTTAAAAGTCTCAACGTCAAATAAAACTTCAAGTCCCATGATGGTTGTGGTGGTCCGTAACGATAATAATCGATGGTGGATGAGAATATCATGGGTACTTTTGGAAGTAAGCGTATAAAATTTGACATTTTTTGTTTTTTACAAAAAATTAATATTTTTTTATTATATTTATTTTAAAAAAATTTATTTTCCTAAAATAAATGTATGCTATTTATGTATTTTTATTCTTCCATTAATTAAGGTATATTAAAAAAAATTGTGAAACTTTTTGCTTTAAGTCATTAACCAATCAAACAATTTTCGTTCACACACTCTCTATAACAATAATAACAATAACAATAACAATTATTATTACTGTATAACGGACATTTTTCCTAATACTATGCCAAATGGTTCGTTGTATAGAGTGTGTGGCACAAAGGTTTTATTATTATACTAATGGGAAAATTAATTGAGTTGTTATAATAGTAAATAGTCATACAAATTTATTAAAAATAGTTTTCAAATAATCCTGATTCTTGTTCTTTTAGAAATTGTCTGATTAAAAGAAAAGTCACATTCATGTATTCTTACAGTCCCCAGCGAAAGTAATGGCGGTACAATGAAACATTATTTTTGCTAAGTTTTTAAGTAAATCGATCTTTTTATATTAAATAAAGTTGTTCACATGAAAAGTTCTACATATCCTAAAATTTTTATGAAGTTTAGAGAAAATTTTTTGATGTGTTCTTGCACTTTACATTTGTGTAAAAAAATTTGATTTTTCTATTTCGTAAAAGCGTAAAATATAAAAACATATTAAAAATTTTTATAAAATTTTTAGGATACGTGGAATTTTTCATTTCAAATAATTTTATTTAATGTATAAAGATTCATTTACTTAATAAAAAAAAAGTTTAATAGAAAAATGAAATTTAAAAAATTTTTAAAAAAGCCAAAGTTCCGATTTTTTTTAATGCTCAAATTAGATTCAAACCGGGATTGAGAAAGGAGGAAAACGTTTTATACTATAAGCTTTTAAAAGCATAATGTTTTACTTGGAGGCGTTTTTGAAAATAAAATTTTATTGATAGTTGCTTATTAAAAATTTTAGTTTTTAAAAAAATTATCACCGCTATTACTTTCGTCGGAGACTGTATATTAGTAGTGGAGACCAAAATGAATTGATGTGTATAATTAGTGGTAGCAGTCAATAATAAATTATATAATTTATAATTATAATTTTATGTACACTAGACATAGTGCTTCCTACACATGAATGTGCTTAGTTAGTACACTCGGTGTACTTAGCGACACCTGTAGCTATCCTGGGTGGGAAGATGCAAGATACTTTTGTTGACATGGTTCTATATGGGGCTGTATTCTGATACAAATATTTTACGTCAATGAATGCTCTCCCGAGTTGGGAAAACTATTCAAAACAGAAATAATAAATGATCGGTAAATCTTTAGATAACAAAGTGCAATCTCTTCTAATATCACGGGATACAGATATGATAATGAATTAACATGTTATAGTATGGTATGCGAAGAAACTTCTTTTCTGAAGCACATCAGAAGAAATTTGGCATCAGTACTTTTCACAAAAATCGCACATTATGCCCAAACAAAAAAAAATATAATTGAAGTTGAAATTTTAGTACTCGGATCGTGTGCACTATAGAAGGAAAATAAGAAAACACTGAAAATAGTCATTTCTCCAGTAAATAAATGGTCTCCTAAATTTTTAATGATTTCTGTCATAATTTGATATTTATAAAGTCCATAATGTACATATATATATATACCATAAAACTCTTTCTAAAATTTATGATTGTCACATAAAAAAATATAAATATTTATATCATAATTTAAATAAGACAATATTAATAATCTATATACAAAATACAAAAAAATTACAAAAGATTAAAAAAAAAACCTTTAAATGTTAATTAAATGTTAAATAAATCATAAAATCATTGTTGTAAAAACATTTCACCCAAAAGAAAAAATCGATTGTAACAATTAATCATAATTTATTGTTTCAAGTCCATATATAATTCACCGCTAAGTTCAGCTTTCTTTCTATTAATTTCAGCTTTCAATTCATCCAATGACGCTTTTAAAGTTTTAACATCATCAATTTTGCGCCTCCTGGTTGCATCTTGAATATAACCTAGAACCAATTTTTCTTGTTGTTGTAAAACTTCCAATTGTTCATCTAATTTTTCTCCTACTTTTTTAACTGATGAATTAGAAAACGAACGAGTTCTGCCATCAACGCCGTTATTAGCAGAAAATACTGAAAAAACAGACGACGATTCATCGTCTTCAGAATTCCCATTTCCCTTACTGCTATTATTCTTTCTTTTAAACATTTGGGGTAATACAGAAAGTGTCAACATATTTTGATGAAGATATTGACTTGCAGCCAAATGAATATTTAATTGTAAACGTTTTACAGATTCAGATTTTGGTGTTAAGGTTTTAATTTCTTTGCTGATCGCGTCAAATTGAGCAAAATTATCCAGTAATTCTTTACGTGTTTTTGCTGCGACTTGATAATCAGCGTGTGTTTGATTAACTATTTCTTGGCTCCTTTAAAAGAATGAGAAAATATATATGAATAAATATTTTTTAACAAAAATGTAATATCTAAAATCAAAATATAATAACAAATTTACTTTAACATGACTATCATGTCCTGAAATTTTGGCAAAGTCAAATCAATTGCGGATCTGATTTTTGTCAATTTCTAATTAACCAATTAATTGAAATTATTTATATGTTCGTTTTAATAAATAAAAAAGTAATTGATTTGTTGATTGAATGATTTTTTATAAAATCCAAATCACCTGATAAAGCATTATCACAGGAGGAGTCTTTGAAATTTCTTCATTATATTCTTTTCGTCTATACAAATGTATGATATGATATGATGAATAAAAATTTAAAATTTCTTTTTAAAATATCAATTATTATTGATTGATCTGAATAATCACCTAAGTACAGCTGAACGACATTTTTTACAAACTCTAACTTCACCAACAGAAATTTGTTCTGATGAATCTTTCAAAAATAAAAATATATAATTAAATGTCATATTATATAATGCCAATCATTCTTGTAAACTAGAAAAAATAAATTTTACATACTTGTATAATTAGTTAAATTCAAAGAAATTTTTGAAGAACATTTCTCACAAATGACACAACCACACAAACGACAATGATGTTTACGATTGGTTATTTTTCCAAAATAATTTCTATATTTATAAACATACAAATGTGTGTACAAATAAATATATATGTAATATACACAATATAAAATCATCAAAATAAAGAAATTAACCACATACCCACAGAGTGGACAATTAGCCACTGACGCGTCATCTTCCCATTTGACAACAGATTGTTCAGACACTAATTATAGAATACATGTACCAAATAAATAAATGATTTATAAAGGTTAACAAACAAAACATAAAGTAACAGTAATCCAGTAAATATTTTACATCTGCGTTGATTTTTATTTGAAATTATTATAGAATTTTTCAAAACACCTTTTGCTGTAATAGAATTTTTATTTTGCGATGCATATAATTTTGTCAACTATGATTACAATAAAATTGTAGTGACAAAGAGTTAATAATATTTATAACATTAATATTTTTAATATTTTTTTCCCAAATATCAATAAAAAGAAAAAAAACCTTCTCTAATCGTTTTTCTAATCGGTTTTCTTCCAAATGAGCTCTTTCGATTATTTTAGTACGATGTTTATTAAATTCTTCAGTATGACTTCTCATAACACCTTGTAATAATTATTGATTGTAAAAATATTAAAATATCAAATCTATTGGTTAAATGATATTAATTATAAATAATTAAAACATTTACATACCTTCATTATCAAAATAACCCTCTCTTGATACAAAACAATCATCACACACACGAAAGAAAGTTCCATTAATAGGATCATGTTGTGCTTGTTTACTTAATTTAATAGTTAATTTACAATGACTATCACAATATAATTTACCACACCTAAAATATATACACAATAAAAATAAAAATTATAATTAAGTCTAAATAAAAATAACAATAATCATAATATTTTTAAATGAATATTTCTAAAAAAAATCTTTTACCAACTTTCGACAATTATTTTTACCACTTAAAATATTCAATGATTTTCTACAGTTGGAAATTGAACATGTATCATTATCTCCATATGGTTGCCAATGATTTTTAACTATAGGACCTTCAGAGTTTTGATCAAAGACAACAGAAGTTCCGGCACCATCTTGTTCCAACTTGATAGTAAATTGACGTAAATTTTGAATATTGTTTAATTTTGTTTTAGATAAAGGCTTCAATATAGTTGACTGGGCATTTTTAAGCCATTTAACAAGTCCATCTTTTACATCGATGGCAGATTCAGAGTGAACATCATCCAAATGTTCGTTAAGTTCAACAAGATCATTCACAGATTCATTACATATTGGACAAATTTTTATCCAGTCATTTTGATCAAACGAAGAAAGAAAATTTGATGATGGTGGAGAATGATTTGATATTGAATTGGAATTGGAATTAGAATTATAATTTGACATTGACTTTTAACTAAATATTTATTTTAATTTATTAATAAATAATCAATTCAAAAAAAATTTTTACTTTTTTTTGCACAAGAAATAATTGTACTACACTTTTATAAAAAAGGAAAATGATTATGATTTTTATTTACGATAATATATTATATTAATGCAATTAAAAAAATAATATTGATAGGAAAATAAAAAAAAATTAATTTTTACATTTTAACTACTAAAAAAAATTTCTCGTATAGCGTTAGAAGATTACTACTACTAATATTACTGTCATTATTATTAATTATTATTATTATTATGAATTTAAAAAATTTATTTTGTGGTAACCGCATTTTTAGGATTTTCAGTTCTATAATTAATTTTTAATAAAATATTAGTAAATAAAAATAAAAATATCATATCACTTATGTATTATTATTATTATTATATATAACTTACGAATTTTTCCATCGTTCAGCAACTAATTTAAAGGCATCTTTATGTGGTAAATCTGGGTTTTCAGCTTTAACTTTAGGTAGTTCAGTTTTCATAAATTTATTGTATGGTGTAAGTTTTTTAGCTTTTAAAAAGGATAGAAATAAAATTATTAGAGAAAAAATCACGCGTATATCGTTCATTATTATTATTATTATTATACTACATACTGGTAGTGGATTTTTTTGTAGTCTTTTCTTTTGCCATTGTGTATATATTTCGTATATTTGTTGTATGTTGATGGTGAAAAACAAATTTATTATTTATTGTTCTTTATTATATGTTTCTTAAGAGAAAGGAAAATACATTGAAAGAAAGATTAAAACTTGTGTTTATATAATGAATTAATCGCGTCTAAAAAAAAATTTATTTATTTGTTATTGTTTTCTTTTGGTTTTTTTTTTAGCAATAACAATAATAATAACAAAAAAAAAAATCAGAAGAGAGAAAATCAAAATAAAAATAAAATTATAAATACCAAAGATAAACTTTTTTGGATAACGTGTATAACAAACGCGTCAATATTATTATTATTATGACAAAATTGGATCGTAAGCACGTGATGCACGCATAAGTATTTCAACCCTGGCTGGGTACCACCCATGTTTACTTGTTAACATGACAAATAAAAAAAAATTCTTTAAAATAAAATATTTACCTTCATTATTTAATAAATGTAAATGAATGAATATATATACTTCCTTTCAAATATAGAATATTATGGAACGATGAATAAATAATGAGAAGGTGGTCCGAAGTTGTTAATGCGCCTACAAAACAACAAAGTTATCATGGTTCGATATAATTTCGAACGATTATTTAATATTGATATGGATTATAAATAATTTGAACAAGTGGTTGTATTTCTTCGAATAAAAACCCCACGTTAAAGCTAAAATTACACACTCCGATATATCAGACATAATGGAACGGTAATATAGTAGGAAAAATAGTAGATAATGTAAAACATAATGTATACACATTATAACTACAACTTAATTTTGAAGTTAATTAAATTTTTCTAATTGGTTATTGTTAGATTCGAAGCCGTTGTTATTTAACAGTATCGTATATATATATATATATATATATATAACAATGAAATTTTTGGTCGAATTATTATCAACATCAAGACTTTGTTTTTTGACTGCAATCATTTGGAAAACGTGATTCACTATATCGTAACATTGTTTTTGTTCTTGTTGTTATTTTATTGTGTATTTTGAAATTTCACGATCAACAAAGTTTTTCCTGGCAAGCACCTAAATATATTCTATGCTTAGTGTTTTAACGACATTAACTAAGTTTACCGATAAAATTGACCAAAATACGATCTTTACCATCATCAATACAAATGGATTCCATTTCATTAAAAACTTTTTAGGTAACTAACTGTATCACATTTTTGTAAAATTTTCTTTGAAAATTTTCATGCCACGAGTTTATTAACAAAGGCATTTAAAATATAATTATTCCGAGTTACATTGCAAGTTAGAACTCCTGTCCAAATCTCCTTCATTGTGAAATAACGGAGATTAGAAAGAGAGGTACGTTTTAACAGGATTATGATTTATTTGAAAGTTCTTGATTGATTAATTTTATAGTTTTATATTATGTAATACTGGTAGCTTTTGAGTTTTTTATTTAGTTATAAATTAGTTATTGTATGCGGAGATGGAAAAGATTAGAATGAATTTTAGCGTGATTATTAAATGCAACTGGTTTATTGCATTTTAGATAGTTTAACCACCATATTCTTTAGTTCGTAATAGCAAGAGAAATTTTGGCTAATCATATTCTTCCCAAAATACTAATTTCTGTTCTAAATAAGTTCCGTGATTTGTATAATTATCAGTTAAAAAAAAAGATAGCAAGTAACTATTGGAAATGAATTAATTGAACTTGTTGTGGATCTAAGAAGAGATAATATACTCCTTGGAATAATGGAATAGTGGCTATAGATAGATATCTTAAGGAAAAATGGATAATTGAAGATTATCATGCAGGAAATAATCATATCCAGCACTGTGGAAAACTATCAATGGTGAACTTAAAGATTTTTTGATAAGGAATTGAAAATTATAGCTAAAAAACAGATTAACCATTGATGAGCTACATCATGAGTTATCACATCCATCGACTGATTGCTGTTTCTGTATGAAATTATTAATAAAATCAGACAAATGTTTAAAATTGCTAATTCAACTATTGAAAGCATGCAATAACTATTATTATTATAAAATGAATATGCACTCATTGGTCATAAATATATGGACACTTGCATGCAAATCATCAGAGATAATTGAGAAAAGGATAAAAAATTTTATTATCCTGATCACATTTGCTTATTAAGTAAAATTTCATCTTCATATCAAATAGTATAATATGCTGAAGTTTCATTGCATATAAACAGCAGTTTGTTGTTTTACAACCTTAAAAATCTTCACCTTGAAAATTGACCACCATGGCAAGTTCTAATGACCTTTGTGATATAAGTAAAAATGCATCTCATGTTTAAATACAGTTACATCTAAAATTCTAGATCATTTGGTAAATTAATTGCTAAGATGACATACAAAATACTCAAACAAGTTGATTTTGATGATCTTTTAAATAATTCATTAAACTTCAAACCATTTTATTTTTTTTTAAAGAATCTAAAATGCCAAAGTTACTCAATTATCTGAATTTGAATGTGGAGAAATTGTTGGCTTAAAAAAGACCAATTTTTCTTATAGAGAAATAGTTCATATATTAAATAATCCAAAACTGCAGTTGAAAAGGCCATTAATGATTATTTCTCAAAAAATAAACAATCGCAGCTCTTAGACCTGGCTAATGTTGTAAGCGAAACTCCTCCAGAAATCATTTGACAGGTTACACGTTAATTGTTTATTAGAGTTTTGGCAGAGTCTCACATTTGGGGGTTTTATCAATCATCAGAGTTTTGACAAGGTATATAATAAAGGAAATTATGATGATAAATATGATTATGAATATTGCAATAATTTTCTTTCCAAGAATTTTTGCTTTTTGTTGGGTAACATTTATTATTTTTCTTTCCTCTTGGTAAATTTCATAGGCAATCCTTTCTTTTCTTAGACAAGCTTCAAGTGTTTGAGTATCATTTATTTTGAAAAGTAAGGAGCAATTTTTTCATCCTGTTCTTTCTTCAAAATACTTCTAATTGTGCTATAATTCTTGGGTCTCATAATGGATTTGATGTAAATTAATTTCATATTAACTATTTTTATATAGTGGTAGTTCTATATCACTTAAGATAACAAATGGGACTGTTAAATTATAATCACATTACAATTGTGATAATACAGTTGAACCCTCATTTTATACTTAAATCGCGTTTCAACGGACAACGGATTTTTTGGTAGGATTTTAGTAATAAGTACTAATCGCGTAACAACGGATTCATGTGATATAGATTTTATAAAAAAAAACACATGTTAAGATTAATTCATTGCTAAATAATAATATAAACTCTCAAAAATATCACTTTCTTAATTCTAATTTGCTACTGAACGTTCTAGAACTTATGCATTACCAAAAGGACAATGCATCATGATACACTTTTTTGAGTGATTGGTTTCGTTTGATGGTCGTTGGATTAATCGATTTTTGTTCGAGGTGCAACAGTTGGATTCAAACAATTTTAATATTGTGGAAAAAAGGAATGTATTTTTATTTTATATTTTGTCTAGAGAGCTCTGTCTGCTCTCGTCATGAAGGAGTATTGGCTCTCTTCCCAACCATTGCCATCGTGATTTCTTTACTGTTATTTTCAATAAAAAAAAAATTGCATTTATAACTTTATATATTATTTGTGGTAGGTAAAATCTGAACGTGCAAACAACAGAGATTGATGTTTACATTTTATTATGAGTAACCAACTTCATTTTGCAAAACAAATGTCAACAAACCAGCACATCTCATAGCAAGCACGGATCTGCTATAAGATATCAACAACCAAAAACGGTTTAATAAAGAGCGTGGAACCTTAAATTCCCAACTTAGAAATTAATTTATTTAATGTAACGTCAATATTTTAAAAATTTATTATAATCGTTTCTAAAAAATGGATAAAATCAAAAATATACTCAAAAAGGATGAATATTCAAATAAAAGATATGAGAATTTCGGTAAATGTCCAACTTGCAATAGATATAATACTTTTTATTCATGGTGTCAATCATGCGATCCACAGTTATTAACTAAAGGATGGACTAGTGGTAATGAAATGGTTGATGATTTGATTAAAAGCACACAACTTACAGCAACAATATATACTAATGGATATCATCTTCAATGGATTCATTATGATGAATTAAAAGACATTGAAAAGATAGGCGAAGGTGGTTTTGCAATTATATACAAAGCTATTTGGATAAATGGTAAAAAATATGTTGATAGTAAAAATAAAAGATGCTTTGAAGATAGGATTGTGGTATTAAAAAAATTACATAATTCACAAAATATTTCTGATGATTTTTTAAACGAGGTAGATATTTTATTGTTGTTGTTATGAAAGAAAATAATATAATTCACTAATAGTGCTTTAGTTCAAAAATTATGTTAAATTTCACCGAAGTGATGCAGTAATTAAAACTTATGGAATAACACAAGATCCAACCACAAAAGATTATATGTTTGTAATGCAATATATGCAAGATGGAAGTCTTCAAAATTATTTATCAAAAGAATTTAAAAATTTAAAATGGATAGATAAAATTTATATTCTTGAAAATATTATTATCGGTTTAAAAAATATTCATGAACAAAATATTATTCATCATGATCTTCATAGTGGAAATATTCTTCATGGTTCTTATGTTTCATATATTGCAGATTTAGGACTGTCAGTTCCCACTGATCAAACTTTAACATCAAATAAAAAAAATAATGTATATGGTGTATTACCTTATTTATCCCCTGAAAATTTAAATGGCAAGCCATACACAATGGCATCTGACATTTATAGCTTTGGGGTTCTGATGTCAGTAGTATCGACAGGACAACAACCTTTCAGCAACATTTCACATGATGCAGACCTTGCTGTAAAATTATGCGAAGGAGTAAGACCTGGATTTTCAATCAACACACCAAACTTTTATATTGAATTAGCCTATAAATGCATGGATGCTGATCCAGACAAACGACCAACTGCCAAAGAAATTTATGATATTATAGTTTTC